AGGCGAGGCAAAGCTATAGGGCGCGACAATGATGAAATCCGGCCCTGAAACGTAGAATCGCCGAGTTGGAAGGCCGGCACCCTACCGGGAGTGAGCTGTCACTCCCTGCTTATCCGCAATCTCACGCACATCCGACCCCCCGAGCCGTGGACAACGCTTTGCCTCTTTCCCCCTACATCCTGTAGGAGGCCGTCCCAAAGAAAATACGAGTACCCCAGCTCGGTCTCTATGATGGGAGCTCGGACCCGGACTCCCACATTGGCCTCTACACTTCGTGGATGGACCTGCACGGCGCCTCGGACGCCCTACGCTGTCGTATGTTCTCCCTGACGCTGGGGCCAAAGGCGCAGAGGTGGTATCACTCCCTTTACCCCCATTTCATCTCCACCTGGGCGCAGCTCAGGTCGGCGTTCCGGTCGCACTTCATCGGATCGCAGGTCAACCTCGCCCCTAAAGAGTCCATCTCTAATATTGTTCAGGGCGAGAACGAGAGTCTGAAGGACTACATAACTTGGTTCAACGATCGGGTCCAGAACATGGAGCGATGCCACCCCGACGCCCTGCTGATCACTGCCCAGGGCGGCCTGAGGCCAAAGACGTTATTTAGATGGTCCCTGTGTCAGAACAAGCCGGCCACCTACCAGGAGTTCCTCACCCGTGCTCAGGATTACATAATGGCGGAAGAGTCCTCGTCCATCCCGACGTTTGATACCGCGCCGACGCCAGCAAAAGCGAAGGCGAAGGAAGAAAAATCGGGGAAGCCAAGTAAATCGTTCGCCGAAATCCGAGCTCAGCGAAGACAAAGAGCCAAGGAACTGAAGGAAAGCTACCAGAGCGTCTTCTCGGTAGGGGCCGCCGCAGTTTATGAGGAAATCAAGGCGAAGGGGTTACTGCCGGACCCCAAGCCGATGTTCACCGACAAGGACAAGGTGGATAAGACCCGCTACTGCACCTACCACAAGGCGCACGGACACAATACCGACCAATGCCGAAATCTCATCTCGGCGCTTCTCAAACTAATCGACGATCCCCAACTCCGGAGGTTCACCAACTCCGGAGAAAAGAGGAAGAAAGGAGGCCGCTTTGAAGAAGGCCCAGACAGTGATGAGGATGCCGACGTGAATCCTCGAAGGAAGAAGACATAGCAGGGTGGCCCCATGAAATCATGACTTTCTGCCCCACCCACCAAAACGAGGCCGACACCTCTAGGGGCAGAAAGAGAGACCGGTCCCCACGCACCGGGGCCGACCAGGCCGACTACCCAACCCGGCGCATCAACACGAGCCGGGGCGAGTCCCTCCTCTCTAGGAGGCAAACCAAGGCCTACGCCCGATAGGACTATCATGCCGGGCAGAGGGTGATGCACGCCAACCACTGGCCGACGCCGGAGCCGACCCCAAACACCATCTCCTTCACCGATGAGGACGCCTTCCTGTTTGATCACCCCCATGCTGACGCCCTGGTGATCACGGCGCCGATCATGGCGATAAAGATCCATCGCATTATGGTCGACACCGGGGCCTACGCGAGCATACTCTATTATGACACCTTCAAGAAGATGGGGATCGACAGGAAGGAATTGCAACCTTGCCGCGAGCGGATCCAAGGCTTCAACGGACAAACCACCGCCCCCGTAGGCCAAGTCACGTTGCCGATCCGGTTTGGGGAAAAGGGGAAGTCCACTAGGCAGAACGGCACTCTATAAGTTGAAGGCTGCAGTATCCATATTTCACTACTCCTTGAAATTCCCAACCTCGGACGGGGAGGGCACCCACCGCGGGGACTAGAAGGAGGCGCGGGAATGCGTCTTGACCATCCCCCGCGCCGAGATCAATGAGATAAACGCAGCAGGTCACCTCGCTGAGGCAGCGGGTGCCGTGCCGGAACGCGACGGTCCTGGGGGCAACCGCATGCTGGGAAACCAGACAGGTTCGTACCCTTCGACCACCCTGAGTGCCGCCCCAGCCGGCACAAGACCAGATGCCGGGCTGGACGAACCCAATCGAAGGGACAACCGCATGCTGGGAAACCAGACAGGTTCACTCCCCTCAACTGGGTCCGACGCCGGGCTAACCGACCTGGACCAAGATAGGGGGAGAAGGGCTGTTAAAGACCCGGTCATCAAAGAAGACGAGCTCGACCCCCGGACCCAATATGAGGAGGAAAGGGGGACGAAGAGGGCTGAACCTATGGACGAAGTTGAAGTCATTTTCGTCGATGAGGAAACTTGCCATAAGCAACTTCGGATCGGGAGCAGGTTACCGGGGCCGCTTAAAGCCGAGCTGACCCAATTCCTCCGAGAAAATGCCGATGTCTTTGCATGGACTCACCAGGACATGGTTGGCATCGATCCTCGAGTTGCCTGCCACAGGCTGCAGCTCGACCCCACTGTCAAACCGGTCGTGCAAAAGCGAAAGAAGCTCGGTCCGGACCGACAACAAGCCTTGGAAGAGGAGGTGATCAAGCTCAAGGACAACGAATATATTCGCGAAGTCTGGTACCCGACATGGGTAGCCAACCCGGTACTTGTGAAGAAGAGCAGCGGAGCATGACGCATGTGCATTGATTTCTCAGATTTGAACAAGGCATGCCCCAAAGACAGTTACCCTCTCCCCCATATCGATTACATGGTTGACGCCACCTCCGGGCACGAGTTGATGAGCTTTATCTGGGTAATAAAGAGGGAAGTTAAGCTTGTTTATGTTGTCTTATTGTCGCTGGTGTTGGTAGGAACATATTCAACTACTGACTTAGTTTTCTTGCTGAAATTGTTGCATGCTGAATATATCATCAAATTGAAATAGTTCTAGCACAGTAGTATTGCTTAATATCTAAATGATTAAGGTGTGTTTATGTTTAGTTCATGTTCGTAATGTGATTCTCTAGTTATTTTTCCCGATTTGGGATTGGCCCCTGCTGATTGTCAACAAGGGCATATTTGATGTCGGCCTCGACGAGGTGACTAGGGGCCCCAGCGAAGAGGACAACTACGATGATGCGGCCGACGCTGCCTAAGGTGGATAGCAGTTCTTTTTCATATTTTTTCATGGTTCCCACTACAAGGATGCCCGTAAGCCAGTTCTGGGTTCAGCGCTCGTTCCTGGCTGCAGACTACACCGCCATTAGAAACTTTGATACGGCCATGCGCCTCCTGATCTGCCAGTTGGGCATAAAAAAATTGCCCATTTGAAATCTAAATTTGTAGACCTACGCGCGGGCAGCCACACCTATCTACGTACTTTCACCTCTTCCCCTGTTATCTCGAATGCGATCGAAAGGGGCTTAACGAGTCATCGAGTTGGAACGTCTGCGGCTCCCAGCCCTCATCTTCAATTTCTCGCAGCCAGGTACAAATGGTGCAAATTGGTAATTATTACAAAATGAGATTTTATTGTGCAATATTTTATATCGTAATGTGCAATTTTTTATAGAGTAATGTGCAATTTTAATCTCTTTTGGAGCAAATTGATAATTATTAAAAAGTGATATTTTATTGTGCAATATTTTATATTGTAATGTGCAATTTTTTATAGAGTAATGTGCAAGTTTAATCTCTTTTGGAGCAAATTGATAATTATTAAAAAGTGATATTTTATTGTGCAATATTTTATATCGTATTGTGCAATATTTTATACAGTAATGTGCAATTTTTTATAGAGTAATGTGCAATTTCAACATTTTTTTTTTTAACTTGGTGCAGGGATACATCTATCGTCGAGTATTCCATGCTACTATTTGAATATTTCAAGGTGGCATTCATTTTTATGGGCTTGCTCGACAAATGAATTTAGCATGTACGAAAAATATATCGCTGATCATCATTGTAGATGTTTAGCAGATGATCTTTTTTTTTTGGGGCGCGGGTGTTGCCACATAGTCTCTCATTTTATTTGATTTCAACATGAAGTGTATTCTGGGTATTTTTGATTATGAACATTCTTTTTTTCTTTGTTGAAATGTTAAATTCACACAAAAAATTATAGATTATGAACATCAACATGAATGTGTGTCTTGTGTTATCACTCTTTCTATGAATATGTTCATTCGTATTTTGAGTATAAAGTTATAGACCAACAATAATTACATTTTTTTATTCACCTTATAGATCATCGATATTTAGGCATTAGTAGTTGGCGTTCAAAATTTAGTAGGCACTTCATTTCTATAATGTGCAATTAATCTTGTAATACGGTGCAACATATAAGGGGCTAATGCGCATTATATAATATATATGGTTTGTGCAATTTAATTTTAGAGACCGCCTATAAAATTTAGATATAGGGATTAGAGTTCAATGATATTTATGTTCTAAGGTGATTTTATTTTCTTCATTAACTTGGTAAATTTTGTGAGATTTTAAATGTTTAGATTGTGAAAATTCTATAATTTCATAAAAAAATATGACTGCATTTTTATTGTGCATATCCACACGAAGTATTGTGCATTTATTAGTTTTTTCATAAATTATATTTGGCCCATAAAATAAATTGTAATATAGTTAAAGTTTCTAAAAATTAAAACTAAATTCTTGTGATTTATCTAACTTTTTTAAAAATCCCTAATCTCAAACTGGAATTGAGCGTCGAAGACGAGGGCTTCACCATCACTCCTATTGCACCACGCTGCGTACGACATACTAGAATACGAAATTGCCTACGTTTATATCATTTTAGTCATTGCGCGGAATACATTATTATGCTAAGGTGCATTATCTCATACATTAATGTGCATCTTGTCATATACAGGTATTTTTAATGTGCATATCCACACACAGTATTGTGCAATTAACTTATCAATATAATGCATTTATTAATTTTTGTAAAAAATTACATATTTGACCCATGAACTAAATTGCAATATAAGTAAAATTCTCCAAATTGCAGATAAGTCCATACAACTTGTATAATTTTCAAAGAAAGACCCATAGTCCCAAATTAGAGTTTCCATGCTAGAGAACCACCTTCCAGGTGCTCGACTTGATTTTGTTCTCCAGGCTGAACGTGTCCTCGATCGACCAGACAACACAGTGGGGCCTGCTTGGTAACGCGCTTGATGCCAACGGTGCCCTGGAGAAAGTTGGGTGATGGATCACTGGTAATGCTTATGTAAATCGGCTTGCTTTCCTTCAGGGCTGTTGAAAACACCGTGTTGATCAACTCATGGACAACATCCAAGTGATTCACATTGTGTTGGCCTATGATTGTTCTAGTCTAGGATTACATGTAGATATCATCCCCATTATCCATACCATAGCTTACGGTTCCAGCCCCAATTCACTTCTCTCCTCTTTCGAGTTTCTCCAGCAACCGGAAATTTTGAGGGACTGTACAAAAACGAGATAACCTCATATGCTAGATACTTAACTAAATCAATTAATCCAACATTAATTCACAAAAAGTAAAAAGGAGGTTACACCGTACAAGGTTCATCATTCATCCAATTCATCCATAACCAATTTTATGCCCACGGGAGTTTGTAAAACTACAATCATTATAGCAATTATTTGGACGACCAATTGCGACAAATAACATAAAATTTCATGCAAGGCAATACTCATTCATAACAAAATCTTTTCCCTCAAAGGAGAAGAAAATAACATAACTAGCAAATTTTGGGTGCACGGTATGCAAGTCAAAGAACTGATCATTTTGAAACATAAAAAATACAAACCAAAAACAACTAATCCTAAATCAAATAAATTGAAACACACAGACCTCAACAAGTATATTTATCACCAAAGAAATGCAACATTCAACAAAAATCCAACTAAAGCACAAAAGCATTCAAAAATCGAGCCAATCGAATACGGCACCACCGTGCAGAGAAAGGGCTTACATGGAAGACGCATCTATCCAGGATAAACCTCCCAGCCATGAACCCCAAGGAGAAGTAGACTACGACGATGAAATGCCACGCGCTAGGCTCACTGCGGACTTCTAAATCAATTCCATCCGTTGATTCAAACTTTAATTGGGACGAACAAACATCAATCGATTATTGCAGGCGTTGTCGTCTGCTTCATACCCGACGTTGAGCCTGCGGTCGATGCTGCAGGTGAGGAGGCGGGGGCGACAGTGGATGACATGGTATGTGGTCGAGGACGCTGGCTTCGTGGGAGGTATGTGGCCGTGGGGACCACGAACGAGGCGGTGATACCAAGTGGGATCTGGTCCGCTGCTGATCGGATTGTATTTTGCCTCGCCGTGAAATTCCCGATTTCTGCTGGCAATGGTGCCCTACAACGGCCATAAAAAATCTATTGGCAATAGGTTCCCTAATTAACCAAGTGACGGTGTGCTCTATCAACGTCAACGTCACTAGAGATGGATGTGGCGGCGCCGACGCCGGCGGAGATGGCGCAAGGGAGGGAAAATTGTTGTGCGATTGGGGAGATGGTGCTGTAGACGGCAGAGACGATTGGGGAAACTTTCTTCTCTAATATGCTTCAAGTTCCGGACCACGCGAGAAGGCTATTTCGTTCATAGACGGCACTGAATACGGCGGCGTCGGCGTGGATGGCATAGCGGATGAGTGCGGTGGTGCAGCGGGTTGTGATGTAGATGGCACCATAGACAATTGGGGCAGGTTTCTTAGTCGACGATCTCAGGCCTCCGGGCGAGCAGGTGCTTGAAGAAGTCGAGGTGGCACAGGACGGCGGCGACGTGGCGTGACCAGGCGGTGAAGTAGTGGTTGGTGCGATGGGAGAGAGAGAGAAAGTAGGAGCAGGTGGGGTGGGTGGTGGTGGGTCTCGTGGGTGAGGTGAGAGAGAAGATTTGGGAGAGCGGTGTTTTTGTGTGGTGGGGTCCACATAGGGTGGTTGGGGGAAAATAACATATTGTCCTTAATAAGTGTAAAACCTCCTCATTTTTTTGCCACTGGATGATCCGATCTGATGGCTACATTATTCTTATTTCTTTCACTGAGAATCATTCTCACCGGAGCGCGACCCATAATTTATCTACCCAAATAATATGTCCAAGAATATAGTCCACAACTAATGTTAATGTTAATTTGCAAGTTTGGATATGTCTAACACTGGTACGTCAATATAATTTGATTCGACTCGTGAAAGCTCTAGACTTCAATTGATTTGCCAGCAAAGTAGACTAATGCACCAATTGTGGTGTAATAGAAGTGTAATTTACTTAGTGGGGCTATTGCTTTAGCCATAATGTTTAGTTAGTTGTGTGGTGGGTAAGTTAGTGAAGCTATTTTTAAGACGCACTTTTGTGTGTAATCCTCCCTCTAGATTCGGCTCGATTGTGGCTTGACTTATTCTAGGTGATGTCTAGTTGTAATTATCTTTTTTATTCTATAAAATCTATTGTTTCGAAAAAGAAAATGTAATTTACTAGTTATTCCAGATGTCCACTAAATAGGAAAACAACCAAAGATTATTGTATTCATTGGAAAACCATGCTCAGATCACCATTCAATATTTATTGGCTAAATGAGTCAATATCAAATAATTAGTCGAACTCGTTTCTTAAATAAGATGACTGAGTTTGTTTGAACAACTTTTAATTTTTTACTTTTTGTTTGTTTTACTAAACAGTCAGCCAAACTTATTTGCGAACAACTTGTTAAAGGTGTTTAAAGTGAGTCGAGCCAAGTTTTTATAAGTTTCAATTAGTTGAGTCTTTAGCTCGTCATTAAATGAGACGAATCTAAAGAACGCGTTTATCAAAGGAGTACGAATTCGAGCATGCGCTATTCAGCTCAGCTCGACACGAATAACACCGGCATTGAAAATTAATGCTGAAGAAAAAAAAAAACTCCTTATATAACCTTAGGCTTCAAAAGGGTAATTTTCCTGGCATTAGCTGGGCTTATATGAGTGAGAAGAATACATAAAAACAAGTTGCAGCCCATTGTACCACAGTCACGGCCCAAACCTTTCCCTCGATCTGACCATCACACGACGTCGTTACCCTCGTCAAAATTGACCATTGTCACCTGACGAGCGCTCAAAAACCCTTTCCTTTCAGTTTAGGGGTATCGCTTTGGCAAATTGGCTTCCTTTGTTACTATTACGGAACCCTAGCTTCGTCGTCTTCCCATTGCAAAAATGAAGCTAGTCAGGTTTGTTTTTTCTCAATTTTTCTTTTGTCAATGGTGATGTTTTATCAGTACCAGAAATGTACTTACAGTTGGAGCTCCACAAGTTTTCATTTTCTGCTGTGTATTGTTTACGCAGGTTTTTGATGAAATTGAACAACGAGACCGTGTCTATTGAGCTCAAGAATGGCACAGTAGTTCATGGAACCATTACAGGTTCTTCTACGCATCAAGCAATACTACTTTTTCTTTGTTCTTTTCATTTCATTTTCGTTCATTTTAGATACATTTGTGTATTACGATTCCCTTCTCTGAGTAAAGCTTTGATTTCTTTTTTCTTTTTTTTTTCTCATTTATTTAATCTGCATAAACTACAAATTATAACAAGAATTTGACAATAGGCAATAATTTGATGCAAATGCAACTCTGAATCTCATAGTGTAATTATTGGTTGGTACAACTGTGTATTGGGCTAAGTCCACCGACTAAATAGTCATAGTATTAGTCTAGAGTTCCATCAGATGCGGATTAAATGTAAGCACGTGAGAAGTTTATTTTAGTTATTCGGGCTTGTTACTTTTATTCTTCTAATGGTGACATGCTAGATAAAGTTTATGACTTCTCAGTAGAATGGTGTCTTCATGCTGTTGGTTTTTTCTTGTTCTGTGCCCATCGAGACTTCCAAACATCGAATAAGTGTTTTGTCATCTCCATAACATAGGAAGACATACCATCATTCATTCCCGAATCTCACAAACAATTAAAACAACAACATATTTCCTAATCGTTTTGCTTAACCGAAATAAATTTGAGAACTACTGAGAGTTCCAAATTGTGTGGCTTCTTCTTTTTTCACCTTAGCCATATGCCAGTCTACTCATTGGTTAAGTTAAAAACTTCCAAACAGAAAAAGAAGAAGCATTTTTTTTTTTTCTTTTTTCAGGGTCATCAAAGACCCAATTAGAAACAGAAGTCCTATGTTGTGCAACTTCTCTCCATGTCAGATTGCTATATATTCTATATGTAACCAATTTAGTGGAACTTTTCTTTTGACATTTGACAGGTGCAAGCAGGGCCATTGTTTCCCTCTTAAATATTACTACTTCCATGATTCAAAATTTCATTCGCACGCATTATCATGGAATTTTTTTCCTGACTGAGTGTAGATTTAACATATGCAAGCTGTAGCCTTATCATTTTTTGATTTGATTGTGTGTTTCTTTAGGTGTTGATATCAGCATGAACACACATCTGAAGACTGTAAAGCTTACTCTGAAGGGAAAGAACCCAGTTACGATGGATCACCTGAGTGTAAGGGGTAACAATATCCGTTACTACATTCTTCCTGACAGCTTGAATCTCGAGACGTTGCTTGTGGAAGAGACTCCTAAGGTCAAGCCCAAGAAGCCAACTGCTGGTAGGCTAGTAATTGCAATTAGCTTTAGATTTACTTGCAAAAATTATCCCTGGTGTTTAACCTTTTTAAAACAAATTGAGGTTTTGGTGAAAATTGAGTTAACATACTCTATTACATTAATAATCTCTTCTTACATCTCATGATTCAAATTATTTTTTTTCAAGGTTACAAATTTCCCCCTTGACATTGTTTCTCTTTAGTAAATGGCACCGATTTCAGTTTCAAGGGGTTACGTACTTGTTAGGTAATTTTGATAGTCAAGGGGGCTTGAAGTGTATTCCCGATGGCGATTTTGAAAAAATAAGTAGAGTATTTTGTAATTAGTATAAAACCTTGGATAGTTTTTCGTATTGTTGCTAAGGTTTAGACATATTGTTGTTAAATTAAACGAGCCTCGCTTGAGCTCATATAAAGCTGATTTGGTTAACTGAGCTCGGCTTGATAAGGCTCGACAAGAGAATTTTTATATAATTTTCTTTAGTTTGGCTCGTTAATAGTGATAAACAAGCCGAACTCGAGCTCGATTTCTGGCTCGTTTATTTAACAGTTGAGCACGAGCACCCTAAGCCCGATTCTAGTTCGTTTATTTAGACAAAATTTCAGTATCATGCATCAATAGTTGAATTTTAATGTTTATTATCGATCGAATCAGGGAAACCTTTGGGGCGTGGTCGAGGCCGTGGTCGTGGGCGTGGACGTGGTCGAGGCCGTTAGACAATCTCATACGTTTCCTATATTTTTTTTTGTAGTATTTTCATTATGTAAACATTTTGTACTAACGAGATCGGTGTTGATGAGTTGTCTCTGAGAAAAAGATATTTTGAATGTTGGTGCTGTTATTGGTTTGAGACTTTGAGTGAAATTGAAGTGGCCTCTTTATCTTATTGGGACTTCTGTGTAAGAAGAAATGTGGTTTATTTATGTACAAGCATATATCTCTTTTAGACTAATTTGCAGTCGACCAGGCTCCAAGGCAACGTAGAAGATGACGTAAAATACAATACACAACATAGTCAGGGCACATATTAATTCAAGTTTTGTTTTAAGCATTTATCAGGTCCAGTTGTTAACTTAACGAGTAAAGTCATTAAAGTTATACAAAAATCTCTATTTTAATCTAAAAGAATTGAATTAAAATTGTACAAAAATCTCTCTTTTTAGCAGTTGTTTATCAAATAAGTCATTAAAATTGTACAAAAATCTCTATTTTTAGCCTAAACTAAATGAATTAAACTGGAGTTAGTTTATCAAACAAGTCACGAGCCGAGCCGTCCAAAGTCCAAACCCGATCTTGTTTTCAGACGAAAATAGGCCCGGCTATAAAAACCCACCTCGTCTAGAAAACTCCTCCCTCACACAGCTCACACCAAACAACTTTCCCTTCCATTTCTTTAGCTTCGTTTTTCCTTGTTTTTCACCTTTTCTTCGTCTCCAAGATAACTGATGGCGAACTCAACCTCCACCTCCTCCTCCGCAAAGTCGGCTGCCATTGTCTTTGGAGCCTTGGCTTGCGGCTGGTTCGCGATTGAGCTCGCATTCAAGCCGTGGCTCGCCAAGGCCAGAGCCGCCATGGATGATTCCGACCCAGATGACGCCGCCGCCGCCGAGCATCCCGCCGCTGATGAAGATGAGGATGAGAAAAGAGATGATTAGTTGATTATTCGTTGGGAGCCTAGGTTTAATGGTGTTAAATTGGTAAAATTATGTACTCCATAATGGATCGGGCAAATATATGTATTTCCGTTCTTATTTCTTAGTGTGCAAATGGAGTTCGAATCAATTTTGCAGTTTGTGCTTGCTTTTGTTCTAATTTGGGCTGCATTTTGTTTGTTGTCACTATATAATCAAGAAAATAATTGATTAGTCATGAAGAAAATTCACCTAAACACTTTAAATTTTTTCTAATAATTTCTCTAAATCAAGTGTTGTGCTCCATATCTCCAATTGAATCTATAATTTCGGGTTCAGTTTTCCACTAATAAGCAAATCAAAATGTATCACAAGAAATGAAAAAGATAAAAGTACTCGTTAAATGCCAAAATATTTGGCGACCCCAGCTCAAACTCCTGATACGGGCTTGAGCCTTTATCAAGCGAAGCCGAACTCGAGCCACAATGAGTCACTGTTTACAGAAAACCGATCTATTTGTTTTATAAACTACAACACAATATCGAAAGGCCATACAAACTCAAAATGAGATTCGCAGTTTTTATTTCTTTGCCATAATTGCCTTTCGAGTTTTGACAATTTTATACCTTTAACTAGTAACTAAGCACAACTATTCCTGAAGATCAGTTAACAGGTACTTGCTTGATTATAGTCCATACGCCTTAATGCTTTACTAAGACTTGGCATCACATTGTAGGCTTGGTACGATCTTCGCAACTCGATGATTGAGCCCACCTGGAAAAGATAATACCAACACATGAGCAAAATTAGATGAGCTTCAATTTTTGTTTGTTTTACAACTGCCCCTCGGGACTCGGAATTTATGTAAGAGCAACAAATCTCAAGACATCGATATTATTCACAAAATTGAAAGATTGTATCTTTTTTTGTTTGTTTGTTTTCCTTCTAGAGTTACAACTTTTCCTATCTATGTAACTTTACGATATTACAAACAAAATACTTCTGTTCCAACAGAAAATAAGCAACATTTGCAAACTGTGCCCAAAATCTACATAATGATTTCCACTCACAGGAGAAGTTTGAAGCATGCAACCAGTAATAAAATAACAATTGATCACCAAGAAGAAGTTGTGTCTCAACAATGAACTTACAATGATCAAAATTGATGTGAACCCTATGGAGAATCCCTCATTGATACGCCTTAAATTATGGTCTAGAATAGAAGAGGTAGTGGCCAAAACACTTAGCAATATACCACCTGCAAAACATTTGCTATTATGAAAAAAACATAAATAAATAAATAAGGGAAAAAAAAGCTTTTGCAAGCATTTTACCCCAAAAACGTGTTGAAGCTTGGATCTTCGTCAAATACTCAATGGTGGATTGTCCCGGTTTTATATTCGGGATTCTTGCGCCCATCTTATTTAAATAATCAGATATTTCCTTCGGCATATTTGCCTAGAAAAGAAATAAAAGGCAAGTACTGAAATTAATGTAACTTGGACAGACCTATGCTTAGCAATAGATTACATTGACTAAAAATCCATAGATTGGAATTCTTTCTCCCATTTTATTGAAAGAATGATGTTTGTAGTAATTTCAAACATGACACTGTTTTTTTCTGCAATTGGGTTAAACCTAAACAAAGAATCTTAAATATTTAGTAGAAAACATCTATATTCGATCAATTGGAAGACTATCGTGAATGATTCTACACTAATGTAGAGAAAAGAATTATATGAAGGTGAAAGTTGAAAATTACTCACAATGTCAAATATGTTGAACAGGAACACAAAAAACGCATAAATTGAGTAGTAAACCCAAGGCGCTGCCCCACTGTGTGTATCTGGATTCAGGATATCTCTCAAATGTTCCCAAAAACGCGAGCCACTAAGACTGAAAAGAATGAAAATACATTAGATTTCATTGCTGCAAGCTAGAAAAGAAAGAAAGAAAAAAAAAAAAACAATTTCACATGAACATTGTACACACATTATTGAGACAACCAAAATATAGCATAACAGAGTGATGTGTAGATGGATAGTTTAGTAGTAGCATTAGACATTAAGGGATAGGGACCAATTGGATAATCCTCTGATTTTGAGAGTTTCTTTTTTCTACTAGAGAATTGTGATACAAAGTATTTTGAGAGTGTGATTGGACATGAAATTAAACTCAAATTGGTTGATTTGATACAAAATTGTAAATAAAGATTGGATAATCATGCCTTAAGGCATAACCCTATTCCCAGCGGCAAATTGGATAAACACCAAAGTTAGCTTTAAGAAATATTCTCAAATCGATTAGATGTGCAACAAAAAATTACCACCAGAAATGCAAATATATTTATATATATATATATATATATATGAAAAAAAAATAAGCCACTACCTTGCAACAATCGTAGGAAATGCCAAGAGATAAGATGTGGTGAGCACAGGTTGCATCCCAGCAGGATTTATGTTGAAAGGAATGTATGGCTCCACCTCAGTAATGGGAGAATCTTCTCTGTCAAACGCATGACCAAAAAGATATAAAAATTAATATATTATGACCACTAAATAACAAATACCAGGAGGTGGGTTTTTGCTCCTTAATGATGTATTTGTAATTCTCATAGATAATGTAAGGTTGTTTATGATTAGGCTAAATCAAATGTGTCTATAGATGATTGGTTATCAAGACTCAAGTATTGCTGAATAATGGGGGTAATAGAAAAATAATCGCAAATGAAGAAAATATTTAGTGAAAGCACTAGAATAGTAGATTTTTCACCTAGCTGCAGAGGCAAGTTTGAACCCGTAATATTGCAACTTGATCTTCCTGCAACCCTCAGTTACAACAACGGCCCACATAGTCACCATAGTGAAAACGCCAAAAACCGCAAGTACATAAGGCCACCAGCTCAGAGTACTTCCTGCAAATGGAAACACACAAAATAGTGAAAATGCAATATATGTGAAATGTAAGTGTGAGCGAACACTCAAATATTAATATCTGAAATATGTAAAGGAAAATGTAAAATAGTGATTCATGAGATTGGTGCTTAAAAAGAGAGTGATTGAAAAAACTGTGCTTGTAAGATAAAAGTGAAATTACGACACTGAATTTTTTTTTTTTCGTGAAATTGTGATTTGTTAATTTTTGGCAATTGGTAGGGGAAAAAAGCAAACAACTGTATGTCGAAAGTGGAAAAAATTTCAGTAGCAGAATTATACAAAATAATATCATAAGCAAGGACTGAGACAACATATTACCGGAGAGTAAATATTTCGCCTAATTGTTTCCTGAACAATGCACAATTGGATGTTCTACTTAAAAATTTAGTCTTTTTAATCAATATTAATAGATTTGTTAATAACAGTTAGTTTAATAGAAGGATTATTGATATGGAAGTGTTCCCCAACAGTATTCCTAGATAAGGAGAAATCAAAATAATGAGTTACAAAGTCAGCAATAAGGATTTATATGAATTGTGTTCTTCCGACTCACCTGAGAGCTGAGTTAACATCTTATGCAATGTTTCGGTGTAGCCAGTCAAAATGCTGACACATATAATTAAAGATGACCCTTGACCTGCACATATTTAGATAAAAAGAACAATTTAGATATTTCTAAATAGATATTTATTGTTCTTTTTATTATCAAAATAAGAAACATTCTCGAATGCCACCAATTGCAAGATGCAGAAATTAATATAAGACCAGGAATAAGCAGTTTACCAAATCCAGACTCTGATATTTGTTCACAAATCCAATTCATAGCCATTGCACCACAAACCAGAAGCGAAGATGTAATCATAACATGTTTTACCCTGCATATTTGTGGCCCCCATTACTCGCACACAACACTAACCTCCTTCCAGATACAAAAAGAACTCACTTATAAGCCTCTAAACAACTAATGGACTAGTCAGTATGAAACGCATATTCTCTAATTCATAAGAACAGAAGAAATAAGTTTGCAACATTTGTAATTGAGAAAGCAGAATGCTCAATTAATTTTTGTCCGGCTTTAAAAATGACAGAAATATCAAATTAGTGTGCTTGCCAGGATTACCTATGACTGGCTGCATAAATAGAATAAGGGAGTGAATATAAAGAGATAACTAAAGCCTCCACCACAGCAATTCCCAGAGAGATCCACCATCTGAAATTCCCAGAGAGCACTATAATAATAATAATAATAATAATAATAATAATAATAATAATAATAATGTCATAAGGGCTCGTCTCACTGCTTGAGATGAATAACTAGACACACATATAACTCTTGATCTTCTCATGACCATCTAAGCCTTCTTTCCGCAGCTTCACTAAGGAAGGGATGACGTGGCAAAGTACCTGAACATAATCTCCGCTTATTATTATCAACAGCAAGATCAATCGGTCATAGCAGTCTGAGTTACATGCAGACAATTCAAGATACTATACTTGCCCAAATCCTTTTGGAGGGATAATATCATAAGAGCGATCTCACTTCCTTACTTTCCATGTAAATCAATCAATATATCAATGAGAAGCTACTTATTGCTGTATGGATAAAGGATTGAGGATACGGTAAACAGAGTTAAGAAGGAAATATATTATTTTCTCTAACTAAAACTAAGTAGCAAGTGAGAGAAGTGAATGGGGAACAAATGAAGAGCCTAACTGCCCCTCCATGTAGAAAACAATGGGCACTGTAAAATCTAAGTTTGGCCTTGTTCGACAAACTAAAAGGATACAAATTTTCAGGTACAAAGAGACTTTCTATACATTACAGAAAGCCGCTATTCAATAAAATCTCCTCAGATGTTTTTAAGATAATAATGTATCGGCATATCAGATTGATTGAAACCTGCATAATAATCGAAGCTCCTATTTGAGGACCAATGCCAAGCTGAAACAAAGATAGCTTAAGTTCAGGGGCAAAATCACCAAGCTCATCTGCAAGTCCATGCATACACATTAATCAATCAATATATCATCAAGTTCTTGAAAAAACACAATACATTTCAAACCAAACTCCATGGTAACAAAACCATGTAAAAGATCCCAATTGCTTCAACTTCAACTAATAATTTGAACTTCAAAACATAAAAAAATGATGGGAAATGAAAGGAAAATAATGCTCACCAACAGATCCCGATATGAACCCGAGATAATTTTCGGGCATTAGTCTCCGATCAAATCCAGGTAAAGGAATAAAATAGCCCAGACGACTAATAACTAACAAGACAGCGGTCACAAACAGCCTCCTCCTTATCTCACTCTTGAAAAAGGATTCAGCTTTATCATTAATGATGGAGCTAATTTTTACAATATTAAGAAACCTACTCCTGTATGCATTAGATTTCTGTTCTAAAAGCTCTGAATTTCCAAAGCCATTCACTTCAAAAGCTCGGTCACCGCCTCCAGATGAGTCTATATATTGTTCGTAATTTGTGGACTCTGTCGATGCAGCCCGAATACAGGAGCTTCTTGAATGGCTATCGATTAAGGGAAGCCCCTTGTTTTTGTTCAACAATACATGTCTTGATGAAGAAAACTGCCTTCTGCTGAAATCTGACGATACAGGTTTGAACGAAACATAATTTCTGGATAATCTCAAAGAAGGGCAACTCCGGTCTGCAAACCAGAAAGAAAGCAACAAGGTGACAACAGTATTAGAGTAAACTGCAACTACTGATTACTGACATTAAAACGAGGGTAGAAGTCAATTTACTGTTAGCCCGAACATTAAAACGAAATACAGAAAGTAAAACGATGAAGATGTCAGTTTGGAAATGAAATTGAAAAAGGGAAAATGACCTCGAATGAAGAAACTGAATTGAGGCTTGAGAATAGTGATTTCCATGGAGATGGCTCTGCAAGTTTTAGACGATGGTGAGATGTTTATAGCTAATTATCTGAACAGAGGACGGACTATGCTAGACTCCGTCGACATCCTCCCGGAGCTTTTTTTTCTAGGGAATGCACTAAACGAGAGGTAAATACTAACTAAATACGCAAAGTGTATCTATATTGAAAATTATAAAA